TCAGGAGATAGAGCATACCTGCCTCCAAGTCACAAAGCCCTATGAGGCTCAGCAACTCTGCTGTAGCCAGGTCTTGGAGTAGTCTGGTCAACTTGGACAGATAGACTTAAGCTTTGGCTGGGTTGTTGGGCAGGTGCATTGATGTTTCTGTCCTTAAGCCATAAGTCAGGCATTGTTCAGTGACCTCTGTTCTCTTGAGTTGAGCTGGGTTCTTTCATGTGAGAATAGAGCTTTTGAGAGAGGCACACCTGAAAGCACATGCATCCAAGAGAATTGCTAATCACAAGACAAAGCCATGGGCAGAGATCTGTAACTTCAGGATATTGCTCTGGCCTCTGAGCCTCAATCTGGTGCTAGTGGCCAACCATGAGATAAATGGAAGGATTGAGCAGAACTGGCCAAAAATTTGTTTTTTAATTTTTAATAACTAGATGATTAGATGAAGCATTTCATTATAGCTTTAACATATTCAGTAACATACTCCAAAGCAAAAGTACATCTCTTTCACAAGTGACTGTAAGTTTCTAGGTTCACAGTTGAATTAATACAATTATACAATATTGAACTCAGTATAAGCCCTGTAAGACATAAAATTAAATGAGTTTTTAACTTTTAAAAAAGATCTCCATTTCATTTTAGAATATACTGTTCCTTGCAGAAAGACTCATTGTTTTTGCTACTGACACTGAGATATTGGTGCATGCATCTCTAATCTGTATGTATCTGATTATTACTAGTCATAATCGGTTGCACTTGGATCATTGGTGCCTGAGTATGTCTATAAAGTTGTCGGGTGGATTTCAATGGTAATGTTTATCACCTCTACTAATTAACATGATGTAAATTTCTATGCTTCCTCCTCAAATATAATACATTTTTAAAATTTTGTTGATTTGTGTGTATGTGTGTATGTGCGTGTGTGTGTGACACAGAACATCCCAAACCATCTTATTCAACTATACACCCACTTCCCAGATGGCACCCCCCCATAGCCTCCCTCCCTCACCTAGAGCCCTTATACTCTGATATCCCTGCTACTGTCTGCTGTGTTGTTGGCACCCCCAGCCATTCCCCATTACTTGTCCATCTGGTGAATCTAGTCAGCCTATGCTAGATGAGGAACAGCTGGTCAAACATTTTTAAGGGTGCATTAGAGGTCCTTATCTTCTGCTAGTATGTGAACTGCAGTGCTGACCCTTGATAGGCTTGGCACTTGCATGCATTTGCTGTCACCTATAGGAAAAGGGGACTGAAACAACCTTATATAGTTCCTGATTAGCTTTGTGTCCTTAGACAAACTAGGGGCCTCAATTCCATATCTGTACAGTTGTAGTAACACTACAGTTAATCCATTTGGTCTTTCAAGAATTAGAAGTTGTCATGTGCAGGACTTGATAAGTGCTTGGAAGACAAAGCTACCATCTGGCCCCTGTAATGATGAAACTGCTCCCTGCTCCTGGCCCCTGTAATGGTGAGGCTGTTCCCTGCTCCAGCCTTCCTTGTTGGGCATGTGGTCACAATCCTGGTAGGCTTGATGTGTTTGCTTTATTTCAAAACTCGTTGTCTTTGGCTCATTTACCCAATCCAGACAGAGGTTAGTGGCCTGGCCTCAGAAGATTGGGTGGCACATGTTTCTGAGCCTGGCTCATTGATCATACCTTTCCAACTCAGAAAGTACTTGGGTACTCCAGGCAGGGGTCTCTTGAGACCCAGGAAACCTGGAAGGAAAGTAATTTGGTATAGATTTGCTTCCTAATTAAGGAGGGTTGAAAGACCTGTTTCACTATAACTTCTGGATTTTTGCCATTTATAAATTGGAACAAGTTTCTCTTGGATAGAGTACTTGAGTGGGAGAAATTTAGTGATCAAAGTGGGCTGGAAGGAAAAAAAACTTACCAAAATACAGCCTCTTCCCAATGCTTCCCTTATTCACCTTGCCAAGGTTATTGAATGCAGCCATCATGGGTCCTGTGACATGGCCACACATTTCACCCCAGGACAAGGCCCTGTAGGACCATGCTTCCCTGACTTGCACTGATTGCTAGTCATGCTGGCTTTCCTTCTCCATAAGGGATGTCCCTTTCCTCTCTCTGGACCTGCTGGATACAAGCCCCTAGGCTTTCCCAAGGAAGTCCCTTCTTATTCTTCAAGCTCAAGAGAATCTCTGCAGAGAAGCTATTCCCCGACATCAGGCCCATAGAACTCTCTCCTTTGTACTTACCAATATTTGAAGGAATCGTTTTTGTGAAAATTTTTCTTCACTAATAGGAAAGTTCCATGCAGGCAGAGTTCATAGCTGTCTTATTAATCTGTATCCTCAGTAACTAAACATTGCCTGATACTGAATATGTATTTGTTAAGTATATATACAAACAAAGGAAATGTAGATAAAGTTTTAGGAACTTACCCCTCCAAGAGGTCTGGAAACTTTTCAAAGCCAATATCCCTTATTTGATAGCCACATGAGTAAAACCCATAGAAGAAGGGGCATTTGGCATTTGCCTTCCTGGAGTTCTGGTTTTTCTCCAGTCCCTTTGCCATTCTTGTGCAGTGCTGTGGAACTCCATTTGTAAACCTTAATCTAGTCCAAGCGCTTCATTTGTACTGGTGATGGAAATACTTGCTACTCAGGGATCCATAGATAGCTTTGTCCTCTTTACAAAGGAATCAACACAGCTGCTTTGGTGGCCTCTACCTAAGTTTTATGGCTTTTGCTCCTCACCCAAATTCTGTGATGGTTAAACAGCTCTGTTGCCAGTAATGCAGACCAAAGCGCTCACATTTGTTTTGTTCTACTTCAGTCTATTCCTCTCTGCACAATCTCATTTGATGCTCACAGCAACCTCAGGAGGAGTATGAATAAAAGCTGTTATCATCGGGGCATGATGGCACGTGCCTTAATCTCAGTCCTCCTGAGGCAGAGGCGGGCAGATCTCTGTGAGATTGAGGCCAGCCCGATCCACATAGTGACTTCCAAGTGGGCTGAAACAAAACAAAACAAAACCCCAAAGCTATTATCACTCCCATTTTGTAGATGAAGAAATGAAAGTTCAGCTAGTTGAAGGAACTGGTGGTGAAATCCAGGCCAGAATCAAGTCTTTTGACTCCAGATCTATGACTTTGAAATGTGTGCACCAATGGTGATTTAATTGTCAGACCATCTTTTTTAAGTTCTGAAGTTCCATTCTTTTTTTTTTTTTGGTCTTTTTGAGACAGGGTCTCCCTGTAGCTCCAGCTGCCTGGAACTCACTCTGTAGACCAGGCTGGCCTTGAACTCACAGAGGATCCACCTGCCTCTGCCTCCTGAGTGCCAGGATTAAAGGCGTGCACCACCACGTCCCTCTGGCTGAAGTTCCATTCTTTTATGCACATTCTTTGACCTTCAGTGTGTAGCTTCAGTGTTCTTTAGATAATGAATGATAATAAAGCAGGGTTGACCTCTTGTATTTGGAGATTGATAATCCCAAAACCTTCTTGGGCAACTCCTTCAATTTATAGAGAAAGCCATAAAGACCCAGAGCAGATAAGAAGAGTTTGGATGCCAAGTTGAACCCATTGCCTTGCTGCTGACCGGGCATTCCCATCTATATTTCTTAGCAAGTGGAAAATGTTTGGGGGGGTTAGTGCTATCTTCAGAAATGCTCAACTTCATTCCTTTGGGGGTTAAGTAAGTAGTTCTCAGAAGAGAGTGGTCAATGGAATCCCTAGGGATGGATGGATAGATAAGTAGATACTTAAGTTATGATGCCCCGCTTCAACCTATGCTTTTCTGTACCTACAAAGAAAGATTTGGTACTATGCTTGTTTCTTTAAGGAGAGATTTCATCTTATTTAATATACTAGCAGTAACATTTCAGGAATAGGCAGATTGTGGCCAGTGACCAAACCAGATCACACCTTGCTTTTGTGTAACCACTGGCCATGGGTGATATTCACAGAATAATATTTGCTGTTGACAGGTGACACTAGTGAAGTTGAATGCTAGTCTCTCTTTACACAAAGAATATTGGTTCTTCTAATTAAACTTGTCTTTTGAAAAGTTATACTCAAAGTTTTTTGGGGGGAGGGGATCAGTTTGAGACAGGGTCTCCCTGTAGCCCCAGCTGTCCTGGAATTCACTATGTAGACCAGGCTGGCCTTGAACTCACAGAGATCCACCTGCCTTGGCCTCCCAAGTGCTGGGATTAAAGGCATGTGCCACCATGCCTGGCTAATTTTGTGAAATTTGTTTTTCCTTCTGTTTGTAAGTACCAACATAATATTAATTTTTGTCTCTTGGATCTGAAGCCTAAAATATTTACCATTTTGCCCTTTAGGGAACTGCTTGCTGACTCTTGAGCATGCCACTCTTGTTTAATATTGAGGCACTTTCTCTTTTACTATCTTGGACCACTTTCTCTTTTTATAATTTCCATCATTTAATCATTTTGTTGTAAATTTAATATATTCTCAGTATAATATTCAAATTTACAAAAGTATATAGAGTATAAAAGGGACTAGTCCCCTCCTCAGAGTTAACACTCAACAGTTTATACTGTATCCTTGCCCACAGCTCACCATTAACTAACTATGTGACATCAGTTCACCTCTTCAAGTTTCAAATTTCCAAACATACATGGTGATAACAGCAGCTCCCACTGAGCAAGGTTGTGTAGATGACACAAGATAATTTTTTTGAATTGCTTAGCATATTGCCTGGTGTGTAGTTAATGCTTAATGATCTGTAACTACTTTTAAATTCTCTCCTTTTAATTTGTACATACACATCAATTCATTTACCATTTTAAAAAGATGGAATATGCTCGTTTTCACAATACAGTTCCACAGGTGGTTCTGAAACATGCTCATTTAAGGATGGCTACGTACATGCTAAGAAGTAGATGGTTATTGAAGGGCTTCATATGTGCAGGGCAGAAATTGCCTTTCATCTTGAGGTTTTCTACAGTGAACATAGGATGGTATAAAATGCACACAAGTAAATTTCTGTTTCTGTATTCCAGGTCTACAACTCAAATAAAGACAGCCAGAGCGAAGGGAGTAAGTATCATTCTTGGGTCATTCTCTGACACTGGGGTTGGGGGTGGGCTTTGAGAAGTTACCACTCTAGGGCTGAGCCACAAGGAGGTGCCCTGGGCATACTAGGTTAGGCTCATTTCCCCAGTACAGTTTGAGATGCTGCCGCTGACTTTCCAGGTCACTGACTTCAGAGAACTGTTCAGTGAGCAAGATTGTAGTGACCCCTTGCCTTTAAACAGCTCGTCTCACTTTGCGTAGAACTCATATATGCGTCATTTCATTTGGTCCCAGGTCTTATTAAAACCATAGCTCTAGTCAACTACTTAAAAGTCACTTAATATCCAACAACCAGAGTCTGATGCTGCTGGAAAGCCTCCAGCAGTCCGCCAGGGCTGGAAAGGCAATCGCCATCACTGACAATTGCTTACCACTTCTGTTTCCTTTGTGACTCATTGAGAGGAAAGAGTGGAGAAGGGAGGAGCTACTGTTCCTTTTTGGTGGAAGTGCCCTGGACAGTCTCTGTAGAACGTAGCATTTTTCCCCTGCTGCAGGCAAACACTGGTTCATCACCACTTCCAAGGGTGCTTGTAACCTTGCAAAGGCATGGGATTAAAGTGAAACCCCTGCTGGGCAAGTGCTTAAACCTGATTATCCCCTTGGTGCATAGAACAAAAAATAAATTCCTTCCAGGGTGCTACAAGACACAAAAGAAACCCTGTCCCCTGGGTTCAGCTTTGCTCTGGAAAATCCACTTAAAAAATTCAGAGGTGGCCCTACTGTGAATTTCAGTAATGTCAGGAAATCAATAGAACAGAACAGTGCCTCTCTGGGTAGACAGAAGGGTAAGCTTTTTCATTTTTATTTTTTTGGTGAGAGTCATTATGAGGCAGAGATTTTTCTTCTCCTTTATTCTTCCTGAAATGAAGACTTTGCTAGATGCTTAAAAACAACAACAAACTAGGGTCTATAGCTTAGACTGCCCTTAAACCCCTTATTGTAGTCAAGGATGAATTCCTGCCTCCATCTCCTGAGTGCAGAGATTACAGGTGTGTACTGCCACACCCAATTTTTGCAGTGCTGGGACTTGAATCCAGGGCTTCATGTATGATAAGCAAGCACTTTTACTGAGTTACATCTTCAGCCCTTACTAGAAGCTTTATATGAATAAAATAGTAAGTAATTTGTAATGATTGAAATTGATAGACTTTTGTGAGGAAAACTGGATTTTGGGTTTTTGCACCCCCCCCCCAAAATTGAACAAGGGAAAAAACTTCAAGTAAATACTCAAGTAAACAAAGACGTAGTTCCTTCCACACTCTAATCAAGTAGAATTGTTTTAGAAAATATGAGGTTAACTGTGACTAGTAGGAAAAAACAAACAAACAAACAAAAAAAAAAACAGAACAAAACAATCCCACAGTTCAACAAAAGAAACACAGAAGGCAGCAGTCTGTTAGTAAAGGATCAAAGAAAGGCACAGACTAGCAGATCCAGCAGCTCTAGAGACCCCCAGAGACTGTGAGAAAGGCTCTTCTGGATGCTGTTTGCAGGCCTTGCCTCACTCTGCTGAAGAGTCAAGATTCCCAGAAAAAAGATCATCTAGTGGATGTAGCTTGGGCATACCTAGGGTGAACAACATACTTTGATTGACAGTTTCTAGAATGTTGTATAAAATGGGAACAGGATAGTTTCCCAAGGGAAAAATCAGGGAAGCCACCAGAATAAGAAGCATGAATGCTTAGTAGGCTGAACTAACAGCTGCCTACATCAGATCCCAAGCTGAATACAATGCGTCTACATAAAGATCTTAAGAGCTATGGAGAGGCAGTACTTATGACCAGAATCTTCTGCCAGATGTTCACCTGTACCTTTTGATCCAATGAACCTGCTTCCCTGTTTAAGTGTCAACAGACTGGAAAGATTATCTGAAATTATTTTATTGGTGGGTATGCCAGTCAGTTCTGGCATTTTTGTAAGCATTTTGGGAATATGCTTGAAGGCCTTTAAAAAATGACTATCCTTTTGTACTTTTCTAATGTACAAAAAATGTTTATGAAATAGAGAAGTTTAAGAATCTAAATTCCAGCATTATCAGAACCCCTAAAAAAATTAAATAAAAAAAAAGTAGAATGAGCCTTAGAGCATATTTATAGTCTGCCTGCAATGTGAGCAAAAATTCTTGCTTATACAAGGCCACATGATTTTCCTGCAAGTTAAAGAAATAAAGTATCCAAGGAAGAGATGGATGAAAGTAAGGACTGGGACTATAAAAAGAATGGGTACAATAAACCAGTTAAACAGTCAAAATAATTCCTTCTATGGTTACAAATAATGGAAAATACCCAGTGTAACTCTCAAATGAAAAAAATAAATTCTTGCTTATATTCTACCTGAATATATTTATGACATAAAGTAATGCCCACTGGAAGCAGCTGTTTCTGTATAAGTATACAAAGTATGTTATATGTATATTTCACATACATATATGAATACGTAGAAACTACCATGAATCAAATCTTCCACTAACTAACTTTGTCTTCTATCAATAAAATATTTGTTCTCTTTGTCCAAGAAAAAAAAAAAAGATACAAATAAAATGTATCCCACTGGGGGAAAAAAAAATTCTGAATATCCCAAATGGAGTAGTTTATGGAGAAGTATGCAACCTTTGAAAAAAACAAGAGAGGTGTGATGGCTAATTTTGATTGTGGACACAGTGTAGACTCACATGGAAATGAAGTCTTGGTGAGGAATCATCAAGATTAGGTTGACCTATAAGCGTGCCTTTGAGGGAGTTTCTTAATTGGGTTGAGGTAGGAAGACTTACCCTGAATCTGGGCAGCATCTTGTCATGGGCACTGGACTGAATGAAAAGGAGAGAGGGAGCTGAGCACCAGCATGCATGTGTTAATTCATCGCTCTCTGCTCTTGATTGTGGATGTAATGTCACTAGCTGCTTCAAGTTTCTGCTGCCTTAACCTGCCCCACAAGGATGGATTACAGTGTAGAATTATGAGCCAAATAAACCTTTTCTTCCTTAAGTCACTTTTGTCATTGTATTTTATCACAGAAACAGGAAAAAAGAAACTGAAACAAGGGGGTTGGGGAGATGGCTCAGCAGTTAACGCTCTTGCTCTGCAAACTCGAGGATGAGAGTTCAGATCCCTGGAACCCACATAAATGGTAATGGGTGTAGTTGATCACCTGTAATCCCAGCCTCCAAAGATAGGGACAGAGGGTCCCCTGAGCAAGCTGGCTAGTGAGACTAGCTTTATTGGCCAACTCTGTGTTTGATTTAAGAGACCCTGCCTCAAAGAATAAGGTGAAAGTAATCCAGGGAGATTCTGAACGTCAACCTTAGGCCTCCACACACATGCACACATATGTGGACCTACACACATGTGAGCACACATGCATACAAATGCACCACACACAAACATAAGAAGAAAAAGGAAAAGGAGGAGGAGGAAAGGGAGATCATAATATGTTTGGTGTCTACAGTATATTTTTAATTGAATTTTTAAAATAAGTGGGAAATAGAGCAAAATAAAATAAATCATTGAACCCATCTAGGTATTTGATAGGAAAATGTCTGGAGATACTTTTATCATCAAGTACTAAATTGGAATGGAGGGCAGCTTACTGGGAGTTACCAGTTTCTAGTATATTTCTCTGTAACTCATTGTTAAAATATTTTATAGTATTAGCTGTCAAATGATCATTTACTATGTGCAGGCACTAGAACTTTATCACATACAATAACTTCATTGAGTATTTTTTAGTTGATTTGTAGATGAAAAACTTAAAACTAAGAAGCTTAAAGACTACATTCATGGTTATTACTGACACAATAACAATTAGCAATGGTTACATAGAGGATTCTACAGGTTGGTCTTAGGCAGATATATACTGATACATGTAGTTTTATCTACATAAACATAAGCTTTGAACTAATCTATCTTATAATGACTATGAAATTAAAGGTTTTGTTGTTGTTGTTGTTGTTTTTGGTCTTTTTGAGACATGGTCTCCTTGTAGCCTCAGTTGGCCTAGATCTTGCTAGCCCTGTGTAGACCAGGCTGACCTTGAACTCACAGAGATCTACCTGACTGCATCCTGAGTGTTGGGATTAAAGACATACACTACCATACCCGACTTGAAATTAAAGTTTTTTTAGAATTCTCTTGGCAATAAAGAATGGGAAACTCTTAAGTGAATTATTATAATCTAGGCCGGGTGTAGTGGCACATGCCTTTAAACCCAGCACTTGGGAGGTAGAGGCAGGTAGATCTCTTAGGAGTTCAAGGCCAGCCTGGTCTACAAAGTGAGTTCCAGGCCAGCCAAGGCTATAAGGAGACCCTGTCTCAAAAAGACCAAAAAAATAAAATAAAAAATTATAAAAATTATTATAATCTTCCACTCTTTTAAACTTTTTAAAGCACTCCTTTGATTTTATTATTATTATTATTATTTTGGACTTTTTGAGACAGGGTCTCCCTGTAGCCCAGCTGTCCTGGAACTCACTATGTAGACCAGGCTGGCCTTGAACTCAGAGATCTGCCTGCCTCTGGGTCCTGAGTGCTGGGATTAAAGGTGTGTGCTACCACACCCAGCTCATTTTATTATATTTTTTTTCATGCAATACAAATGATTAAATCTGTGATCTCACACATGGACAGACAAGTGCTTTGCCCTAGACACATTATTTTATTCTAATCTCAAGTTACATAAAAGCTTAATAAGATGTTACAGAACTATTATCAATAAAAACCACACATGCATTTAGTTGAACATAGTACTGAAGTAAAGCATGTACCAAGTTTTGAAGTGGAAAAAACCACTTCAGAAAGATGAGTTTCTTAATGCTTAATACTTTCTCAAAAAGCAGTTCAGGTGGGCAAGGCATGGTGATGCACCCTACTAATTCCAGGAGTTAGAAGGTGAAACAAGAGGATCAAGAGTCCAAGGTCATCCTGATACCCTATCTCAAACCTCTCATTGCCCCAAAAGCAGTATAGAAT